AAGGATGCAGGGGTGGTGATTCCCACCACATCCCCATTCAACTGGCCTATTTGGCCTGTGCAAAAAACAGATGGATCTTGGAGAATGACAGTAGATTATCGAAAACTTAACCAGGTGGTGACTCCAATTGCAGCTGCTGTTCCAGATGTAATTTCACTGCTTGAGCAAATTAATACATTTCCTCGTACCTGGTATGCAGCTATTGATCTGGCTAATGCCTTTTTCTCTATACCTGTTTCAAAGGACCACCAGAAGCAGTTTGCCTTCAGCTGGTAAGGCCAACAGTACACCTTCACCTGCCTACCTCATGGCTACATTAACTCTCCAGCCCTATGTCATAATTTAGTCTGCAGGGACCTTGATCACCTTCCCTTCCACAAGACATCACACTGGTCCATTATATTGATGACATTATGCTTATTGGACCTAGTAAGGAAGAAGTGTCAATGACTCTGGACTTCTTGGTAAAAAACACTTGCGTGCTAGAGGGTGGGAGATTAATCCCACAAAAATTCAGGCACCTTCCACTTCAGCGAAATATCTAGGGGTCCAGTGGTGTGGGGCATGTGAAGACAGTCCTTCTAAAGTGAAGGATAAGTTATTGTATCTTGCTTCTCCCACAACTAAAAAGGAGGCACAATGCCTAGTGGGCCTGTTTGGATTTTGGAGGCAACAGATTCCTCATTTGGGTGTGCTACTCCGGCCTATTCATCAAGTGACTCGAAAAGCTGCTAGTTTTGAGTGGGGACCAGAATGAGAGAAGACTCTGCAACAGGTTCAGGCTGCTGTGCAAGCCACTCTGCCACTTGGACCATATCATCCAGCTGATCCAATGGTGCTTGAAGTGTCAGTGGCAGTTAGAGATGCTGTTTGGAGTCTTTGGCAGGCCCCCTACTGGTGAATCACAGCGCATACCCTTAGAATTTTGGAGTAAAGCTCTGCCATCCTCTGCAGATAACTACTCTCCTTTTGAGAAACAACTTTTGGCTTGTTACTGGGCCTTAGTAGAGACTGAATGCTTAACCATGGGACACCAAGTCACCATGAGGCCTGAGCTGCCCATCGTGAACTGGGTGTTGTCTGACCCACAGAACCATAAATTTGGACGTGCACAGCAGCACTCCATCATTAAATGGAAGTGGTATATTCAAGATCAGGCCTGAACAGGACCCGAAGGCACAAGTAAATTTCATGAGGAAGTGGCCCAAATGCCCATGGTCTCCACTCCTGTCACATTACCTTCCATTTCCCCATCTGCACCTATGGCCTCATGGGGAGTTCCTTATGATCAG